ATTCAGTGAAGAAGCAAAGACGCACGGTTACAGACACACGGTGTTGCAGTTTGATAGTGGCAATGACAGCTTTACTTCATCCTGCTCTGACAGTCCCTCCCGACACACACACAGACACATGCACCTCTTAAATCTTAAAATCAAATAAAGGTGTACTTCAGTGTGTGAACATACTTTAGCCAGATTTGGCGAGGACTCTGTGTTTGATTTCTAATGTTTATATCTAAAATAGAGCCTGTCAGAAACCATATATACAGTAATTTCATGAAGTACTATTGTTTGGATGTCCTATTAACTAGAACCAACTGCAAGAAAGAATCAAAACCTCAGAACATAATGTGTTTTCTCCTTAATATGGCAAAAATATGGGCTCAAAATAGATTTCCCTCCACGGCACTACAGAACGTCCTTTTTAACTGGTCATAAATACGTAAAACAATAAAATACCACCATAATATGTTAAATGTGTGGATTTTTAAGACCCCAAGATTAGTGTACAATATAAGGCGGTTTTACTCTCCTGTGCCATTTTTTTCTTCATGTGACAAAATAAATAGGGGGATAGTGTAGTACTCCAAAATCTGGATCTCATATGCAGAAAGATTTGGGGTCCCTTGATGCAGGCGTGGACACGTAGGGCCCCTCTCCTCCTGTCAATGAGCCCTGCCAGCTGCAGCCATGTTGTAAAGGATCAGGCTCCTCCAGCAGCAGCAGAGGCAGCAGCAGTGGCAGCAGCAGTGCTAACAGCTAGCGTCAGTGGACACCGACTACCGGGCACGGCGCTGTTGTGGACAAAAACAGACGGGGGAGAGGGACCTGGAGCGCAGAGACATCCATCTAGCCGGTTCCTATTATCAGTGGATGTGCTAATAAAATTCAGACGCTCTGGCTGGATAAGGTGTCCGGTTACGGAAAGTAGGTGCGGTCGGGCTCCAGGGCTGAAGCGGGTGAGTATTGATCTCTCTTGGGGGCGAACTGAGTGGGAATAGCCCTGGGTTAGCTTAGCTAGCTTAGCATTAAAGGGGGTAACATACACACACACACACACACAGACAATGGGGGTTAACGACAATGCACTTAGGTGTGGGTGTGTTTTCAGGAGCTGGCATGAGGGTTTAGAGTGAATTAGCTGATGTGAATTACAAGTCGTATACACGGCGGAGTAATTTGTATTCCTAACAGACAGACAGTGGTGCAGTGGCCGAAACCACCCCTGTGTGTTTCTCCGGTGGGTGCAAAGGTCCAAACCAGGCAGGATTTCTGTCATGCGGAGTAACAACGCCTTTGCAAAACAGCTGTGTTTTGTTGAGCAGTGAGTGGCTCACACTGAGACTTATCTTTTGCAGGCAATGGTTTGGAGACAAAAGGGGGAGACAGCCTTTAGTTAAACCTGAATGTCTCAAGTGTTTTGGGGGCTGTTTGCTGCCTTGTCAACCTCAATATTGCACACTGATCACTGAACTAGGCCGATTGAAATGGATTAATATTTGAGCAGATCCTGTGGGGTTTTTTGTGTGTTTTTTAGGGCCACAAATCATTCGTGAGCGTGCTTGATGGGATTAAACAGAAATTTATGCATAATGGTAAACCTGACAGAATTAAACCTGGTTCACAGCTTAGTGCCCAGCAGCTCTGTGGTTGA